TCCTTCAGCAGAATAGTCCCTCAGCTTCTCTGGGTCTCTTGTAATCTTTGCAAGACATTCAGAGAAATAAAATACAGCAGAAGTTAGACACAGGCAGGCAGGCCAGCAGACAGGCAGACAGACAGACAGACAGATGAGATTATAATAAAGAGAGAGATAGACAGAGATAATAGAGTTATATGAAGAATAGCTGATGGAATAAGCAAGTCAGTGTTGATTACTGTAAAAAGTATACATGGAATTAAGTCATGCCTTGCAAAAGGAAATGCATGTGTTTAAAGGCATTGAAATAGCACATAGAAATGAGGCTTACCTTTCTGAAGTCTTTCATAAATAAAAAACATTGCTCTATCAAACAAACTCTTACCTCTGCACAGATCTAGAAATAATCAACAGTCTGCATAGAAAAATACCGCAGCAATTTTTTAAACCTAACTCTAGTTCTACCTCTTTCTACCTCCTAACTACCTCTTTATAGTTGATGAAAGCAAAAAAAAAATATTAAGATTAAACCCTTAATTCCTTCCTAGGATTGCAGAAAGTTCTCTTGTTGACTGACAGATTTAGAAAAGAACCACCTATGATTTTACACGAAGCATCCCTTTTCGGGAGTGAGTCAAAAGTCAGATCACTTACTGTGTGATTTCCAGTGTTTCGCAGGCGTCTTGGGAAGAATAATTTGGTAGACTTTCAGGTCTCCTTTTATAGACAAGGGCACATGAAACAAAGTCTCACATTTCACATTCGCAACTTCAGGGAAAAATGTTCTGACCCACAATTTTCAAACCACATTTGCCAGCACAACTTGGTGTCATGTAGGGCTATGAATGATGGCTCACTTTCTTCCTTACTGACTCTTGTAAGACAATATGTAAGAGATGAGGGAACAGAAGGAGAACTCATCAAATTTGCAGATGACACTAAGCTGGGAGGACTACCCAACATCCCAGAAGACAGGTTCAGAATCCAAAAAGATTTTAACAGACTTGAATAATGGACCCTATCCAACAAAATGAAATTTAATGTGGAGAAAAGCAAGGTTTCACACTCAGGCAAGAAAAGAACCAAACTACAGATTAAGTGAAACCTGGCTCAAAAACATTAACTGTGACAGAGACCTTAGAGTCTTACTGGACGATCCCTTAAACATGAGCCAACCATGCTGTGGCAACAGCCAAAAAAGCCAATACAATCCTTGGTTGCATGAACAGAGGCATAGAATTAAAATCACAGTATTAGTGTCACTTTATAAAGCCTTAGTAAGGCCACACCTGGAATACTGCATCCAATTTTGGTCATCACGTTACAAAAAACATGTACAGAGAAGAGCAACTAAGACGATTATGGGCATGGAGACTAAAACATATGAAGGATGGTTGCAGGAATTGGGTATGGCTAGAGGAAAAAAGGACTAGGGGAGACATGATAGCAGTCTTCCAGTATTTGAGAGGCTGCCACAAAGAAGGGGGGGGGGGGGAAGGGGGTCAACCTATTTTCCAAAGCTCCGGAAGGCAGGACAAGAAACAACGGATGGAAACTAATTAAGGAGAGAAGCATCTTAGAAGTAAGGAGAAACTTCCTAAAAGTGAGGACAATTAGCCAGTGGAACAGCTTGACACCAGAAGTCGTGGGTGCTCCATCAATGGAGGTTTTTAAGAAGAGACTGGGTAGTCCCTTGTCTGAAATGGTATGGGGTCTCCTGCGTGAGCAGGGGGCTGGAATGGGAGACCTCCAACTCTATTTGGATTGATTGATTGATGTTAATGACAAAGCAAGTATTGTCAGGTGGTTTTAAATCATAAGCAAGGGATACGTTGTCTCTCTATATTTGGTGCAAGCAAATTTTTAAGGATAAATTCTTAATCCATTCCCAGCCTTGCAGAAATGTCTCTAAAGATTCCCAACTGACTGACTGGCAGATCACCAATGATTTTACATTACGTATTTCTTATTTCCATCAACACAATTAATTATTTGCTTTCCTTGTGGACCCAAATAGATTTTTAGAGGGAGGTTTACTTCTTGCTCTGATGCGCTTTTGCTTAGTCTATTGAGAAAAGAGCTATTTTAATAATGTAGTGGAGGAAAAGAAAATTAAAATTGCACTGCAAATGTCATGGATTTAATCAAAATAAAAATTACTTTTTGCATATGATCCTGCAATATTTTAAGCTAAAATTGCTATAGTATTATTGATGGGTGGATTACTTGTACCCCACCTTTATTATTTTTACAAATAACTCAGTGGTGATGTTATCCAACACACCTTCTTCCTCCAGTTTTCCCCACAACAACAACAGTGTGAGAGGGATTGAGCTGAGAGAGAGAGGTCACCAGTTGTCTTTCATAGCTAAGGCAGGACTAGAACTCACACTCTACCTTAACCACTAGTGACTAGACCAAACTGGCTCTCAGATCAAATTATGGTTTGTTTTTCTTGGTAGTGGTGGTAAGTTAATGGTTGAAAAATTCGTCCCTCCTGCTCTTATTCAGTTCTGATTCAAGATTTAGATAATGCAACAGCAAATTTAAATCTCATGTAATACGAACTGTATAGCCATGCTTCGCTACAAAACTATGTGATCAGGATTAGTTTTTTGGGAGGAAAATAAAGGGAAAAAAAATCTGCCTCTGCCTACCAGCATCCATTGGTATTCATCTGGCTAGTGTCCTGTCAGTGTGGGAGAGAGTTGAGGGCTGTTTGGAAACTGAAACATGGAAAATGAAACAGTATATGCTGTGTGAGCAAGAAAGAGACAGCAAGGAGCCTGGGCGTGGCTTAGCTCAACTGTTCTGTACTAAAGCTGCTTGCTGCTCTGAAACTGAAATTGAAACTCCTCTCCTCTGCTTATGTTTTGCATTTGGAAGAGATTTCTTTTCAGGTGGGGAGGGGGAGAAGAACTCCTTAGCATCAGAGCATGTTAATAATTATAATATAGGAAATACTAATGCTCTGATGGTCATTTTGAAAAATCCTTTCTTAGTGAGCCCCTAGAAGCCAAGAGGAACATACGTGCCAAATTTAGAGTTTGTAGGCTTTACGGTTCTGGAGATTTTTGTGATGATGCATGAGTGGTATTTCACTTTTATATAGATTCTTTAAAACCTTCTATTTAAGAAACTATATTTTTATTATTATTAACACCACTGTATCACATTACAAATATTAGAAATGACATTGTATTAATGCTCTCTTAAGGGATATATTTGTCTGAATATTGATTGTAACTAATGCCCTTTATAATGTAACTGTTAAACAGTTCCCAGATTAATTTTGTTGAATTGATCCACTAAATACTACAATGTGATTAGATTATCACAATTAGTAATGTCATTTTTTAAAACCAATGCTCTTCTCTATTGTTCCCCGCCAAGCCTGTATTTCTTTCAGTCCTACCATTCACTGGAAGGTTTAACAAATGGCAATTGTTAATCAGGAACAGAACAAACAATTCTTCTTAGAGACAATATCTGTAATTTTTCCAAAGGGGAAATGATCGACCATTTGTGACCTTGGCTTAGTGATGGATTTGATGATTGTATTCTAATTTAATTTCTAGATCCTGCTTGGTTAGACTTTTGGTTTGCAGAACTTTTGTGAGTTCTATCATTTTTAAAAAATTCTCATCCAAAATTTACCACTGAAAGTTGGTCATTTCTCTGCCAAATTTCAACACTGATTTCCCTTTTTTCATTTCCTGGAAACTTGTAGAGACAGGGAGAATTGATCTTAATTTAATGCCTTCTTTCTTTCTGAGAAATGTATACCAAAATTAGAAAGCCTTTTTTCCTTTCTTTTCACCAAAAGTCAGAATGCATCATATGTCTTCTGTCTTTTCTAAAAACAACAACATTCCAGCTGGGCTGTTTTTGTTTTTTGTTTTTAATATAATGGATCCCATGGCTTGTTTCTCTTTTAACTTATCTATTATGCTGCAAAAATAAATCCGCCAGTGAGACAGAATGACATCATCATCAACAGCATTCTACAATAGTTTGGAGAAGAGAAGAAATACGAAATTTGGAAAAGCAGTCTAGCATTTGAATTTGCGACCTTTGAACCCTTTGCTTTCTTTATTCATGTCAGAAGCACCTTCAGATTATAATCATGTAACATTCAACACTAAGCAAACAAAATAGGTCATAGAAATATAGCACATGTAAAAAGTAAGTAGAATAAATAGTATTAAAACTAAGTGATGTTAGCCCAGTATTGGGCCATATTGACAGCATATTCTCTCACTACTTTGAGGTCTTCTGCTGAAGGACATTGTATGCACCATAGCATGTGTGAGATGGATTGTTTTTCACACAGGGTAGCTTCTACAAGAAAGCCTCATTGTCTTACATCAAAGGACAATCTAGAACCCTTTGCTGATCTGCTTTGAATGTTTGAAGTAGATGGTTCCTGGTGGAGTCATCCTAGTTAATATGTTAGGACTTGGTGAATTGTTGAACTGTTGGTGAACTGTTAGATATATGTCAACCACCCCAATGGAATGATTCATAGCATCTTTTAGGACATTCCATATAAATTCTTGAGCCCCCCCACTCTCCATCTTATTCCTTGTCTTCTTCCTCTTCTACTTCCTGTAACCTTGCCAATATGATCATTCCCCACCTCCTAGTCCATCATCATCATCTCACATCCCATCCCTAAACTACCTGTGTTTCTGCTTACAGTTGATCACTTCGAGAATCAAAGTCAGACTTTATTTAGTCCAGGACTGACTGATTGTTAATTCAGATCATCCTGCAGTCTTTGGTTCCTTTTTGTAACATGAGCTGGTCATTAAAGCAACTTACTGTGCATATCAGTTTCATTTTTCCCACCTTGATGGACATTTTGGATGAGTAAAACAGCAGGGAAATAACTAGAAGGGTTGTATGTGGATGCTTTCAGTATCTGCAAAGTCTGTGAATCAGATAGGATGATTACCCATTAAGAAATTCATTAGAGATTTATTTGATCACTCTATTGATTAAAGTACTTTTTAAAAAAAGATAGTACAATTGTTGTCTATTTGGGCTTCTTTTAAAATGGAAAAGGTTTTGCCAACCCCTGTCATCTTCTGGAAGGGATTTTGCATTGAAAGCCATAAGCAGTTCGTATAAGATGATTGCTAAAATGTTAAAAGGCAATTAAGGGATATTGGTTTGGTGGAATTTATAATTGCACACACTACATACAGTATATTTAACTAGTAAAACACAAATAAACATTACATTAAGGAGACAGTTTAATATGTGATTATCTGAACACGAGAATTACCAGTACATTATTTATTAATTTTATTATCACAGATATTTCTCATAAATCCACATTTTTTAAGTAGCCTCCAAAGTGCAACAAACTGAATTAAATTATATGAAATGGCCCCAATGCTTGTTCGTCTTTTGACAGTTGCCCAAGCAAACCTTGTACAGCCTTGTGAAACCTTGATAGGTTTTTTTTAGAATATCAGAATGAATAAGGCCATTTGGCTCATGTTCTGAAATTATAGGTGAATGTCCTGTTCTTGCTACCCAGTCAAACTTAGAAGGATGGTTGAATTAAAACTCACAGATGATTAATCGATTTGCATTGCAAGTAACGTCATTCCATTGGCCATCCTGGTACAACTCTATGCAATCTTCTTCTTCTCCATTAGGTTCGCCATCTGCCCATTGTGAGTATCGCATTGGGTCCCCGTTGAGGTGCTTAAAAGTACCTTCTGTCTCCTGGTCTGTCATCCCCAGAAAAGAGTTTTTTCCAAACTTGGAAGCCAGTTTTGCTAGAGCAGCGTTTTCTTCCTCATTTCTCGGAGAAGCCAGTTTTCCTCTAAATTTGGAGCAGGTGGCCTTGGCAGTGTCAAAGTTGGCTTCACCTCCATTAGATGCAAATTTTTTGGTTCCGATTATGGTGAAGGTTGGGAAAGCAGACTCCTGAATATCTAAGAAAGGAAAGAACCGAAATGAATTCTTTCTCGGCTGTTTTCATGGCGAGAACTCCATTTTAGGACCCATACTGATCTTGACATCAAATGGACCAGGGGTGGGCTTCAAAAAATTTAGTAATGGGTTCTCTGCCTGGTTGCTGGGTAGGCATGGCCATAGTGGGTATGGCCTAGTCGGCCTCCTGCACCACAGTCTCTAGAGTTCCACTCTGATACCTTGATCTCTACCCGAAATGTTTGTCTGTGTCTGTCTGAAAGAAAGATAGATGCAAAAGCTTTCCTTGAACCTCCAGGAGGACGAAAATGGCCTCCCTGGGCTCTGGAGGCTGTAAACAGTCCCATTTCCGGCCTTCCTGAACTTCCGGGAGGCCTGTTTTTCACCCGCCCTGAGCCTCCATGTGCGCCCTGCACTTACCTGCATCCAAAATGTATAGGGATTTCTGGGAGGGGCAGGGTGGGGTGGGTGGGGCCAGCCAGGAGTGGGATTTGGGGTTCTCCTAACTGCATAGAATCTTACTAGCAGCTCTCCCAAACCCCTGCAAACCCCCAGCAGCCCCCCCGAAATGAACCGAAGGAACATCAGGAAGTATCAGAGTAAAGTATTTATAGAGTTGAAAATTTGTAGCCCGGGGTTAAAATGAGAGATTGTTTGTGCTCTCTGAGCTTGGTTGTTTTCTTACAGATGTTTCATTACCAAACTAGGTAGTAGAATCATTGCATGATGACGTTATCAAGTTGGCAATGAAACATCTGCAAGAAAACAACCACGCTCAGAGAGCACGAAAGATCTGTTAGGAATATAAGTCACCTAACAGCTATTTGGGTTGGACAATATATAAACCAGGATAGACATTTTAAAACTGTATCTTTAAGAAAATGCAAAAGTGTAATTGGGTGTGGTTTCTCAAACGGCCATAAGATGGAGCCAGAAACCTGGGTTGTTTAGTCTAGCCTTAGTCTCAGAAGAGAGTGTGAGTGAGTCTCTGTTTTTCCTTCTGTTGGAGAGTATTGTTGTTTCTTCTAATTGACTGCTATTCCTGGATTTGATGTAAATCTGATACTGAACTGTTTTTGATACTGGACTTTGTTATTGAATTATCCCTGGATTGAAAATTGACTGATTTACCTGTGAATGACTTTGGACTGCTTGTTTTAAACTTTGCTTAAACCTTTCTGGAAGTAAAAACCTACATTTACTGTACAGTGTATCTGTGTGCTGTGTGTGTATTATTCAAACACTACTCTCAATACGTCTCCCTGTATGTGCTCATTCTCCTAACAGGGAATTACCTCAACAGGATCCCTCTAAAGTATTTATGAAAGTCTTTGCAAATATTCCTAATGAAACTGATCTGTGTTACCTTCCTGATTCTTTCTTGCAGTCTCTTTCAGGACCTTCAGTTCTGCCTGTAAATCACGAATCTGAGTTTTGAGAACATCAAGCTCTAAAGGGTATGAAAGGAAAGGATTATTCCGCACTTCTGTCAGAACCAAAATAAATTTTTAAAACAATGTCTGAAAGCTTCTTGGCTGGTGAAATGTGACACAGACTTACTGAGTTGAAACACAAGCTGGCTCATACATTGCATGGTGTCAACAGTTCGCTCCTCCTTAAGACCTGTATCAGACTTGGAAGTCATATTTCACTTGGAAGCTTTGAGCACATTCAGTGCCTGGGAATTTGGGAGGGGGGGTTTCATAGAGAGGTGGAAGATTAGACATTTTTTCTCAGAGACTCAAGGACAAGTCACCCTGCACCTGGAGGGGAGTGACTGGAGGAAGGTCTCCAGTTGGGATAGATGGTTGATTGGACCATGTGATGGACTGGTGGATGCAGGAGATGGATCTTTGATTTCTCTTTTGGGAAGGGAAAACCTGGAACTCACAGATTCGAGTTTTCCCAGATGTGCCAATATGACTTTTCTAATAAATTCTTACTTGGATGAACTTGGTTTCTGAGTGCTGAATGATAATTGGGGAGTTTCGTTGGAATGCTGACAACCTGACTGTTTCCCCAGGAACTGTGATTAAAGGCCCCCTCCTCCTTGTGTAGGGTTATTGTTATTGGGCACCTGGAGTTGTATGTTGTTGAGGAGGGGGTTTTCATGCTTGTATGCACCCAGAGTCACTTGTGTGAGATGAGTAGATAAACAACATAAATAAATACCCTTTCAGTCTAATTTCAGCCCTGTTATTTTTTTTCTCCTATGTTAGGTTATATTGTAAACCATCCTAAATTTTCCAAACAGGGAGAGCCGCAGCGTAAAAATATTCATTTTAAACCTTTCATCAAAACAGCCAGATCCACCCACCCCCCGGTTTCCATTTCAACCACCCCTCCCTCTTTCCTGGGATTTAACCTTCATCTCATTCATTACTATCAAAGTTGGACAACATCCGGAGGTGCTCGGAGTTCTTGCAATTCCTTACTCTTAACCATATTGAAGGGACTTCAGGAAGACCAAACTTCAAATTGTCTTCTGTAGCAGTTAACACCTTGGAGAACACTTTGGACTTCTGTGAGGTACTGCCAATGGCCTAAATATTGTCTTTTAAATATGTCTTTTAGACATGGCTATCAACAAAAACTAGAACTAATGTAAAACTTCTCCCTAGTCCAATTCCACAAAGCAGATCAAAAAATATTCAAGACGATGATGTCAAAATTATCAAAGCAACAAATAGGAAAAAAATCTACTGAGCTCCTGAATATTTCAATTTCATTGCACACATGCTGTGCATTGACAATAAACATTTGATTTGATTTGATATTCAGGAGGATTGGAAGCCAGAACAGATATTTCATTTCAGATACTTTTTGGGTCACCTATTACAGAGAGTCTCCTTTGACTTTCACAAGCCTAAAAGGGCTCCTGGGATCATTGGAAAGTTTTATATGTGAAATTTCTGTTTTCCATGGAATGTTGATAACAGTTGTACAGTTAGGATAGCCAGATGTGCTGTAGGAAAAGAGCTGCTAGTCTATAACAGCCGAAAATCAGAAGGAATATGGTCAGAAGAACAATAAATTTGCACCGGATCTGCCATTTGTACACTAAAGTGTTTCCTTGTTGTTGTTTACCTAAAGCTGGATTTCTCACAGCGACAACAATAAAAAACATGCATGAAACAATAAAAAACCAACATCCAAAAATGCAACACCAAAAGCCCTACAGCAGTGGTAGTCAACCTGGTCCCTACTGCTCACTAGTGGGTGTTCCAGCTTTCATGGTGGGCGGTAGGGGTTTTGTCCCCTACTTTATAAATCACCATTACTGTGGAACCGGTGGGCAGTTAGAAAATTTTACTACTAACAGAGATACAAAAGTGGGCGGTAGGTATAAAAAGGTTGAGTACTCCTGTCCTACAGCAATACTCTCCAATAACTACAATTACTCGGCTCCAGTCTCACCTGATCCCAATTCTTGAGAAGAGACAGTTTTTAGGGCCTTAATAGAGTGCTTTGGTGATCCATCCATGCAATCATCTGATCTACTAAAGGATTATTTGATTAATCTACCCGTACAAAAGACAAATAGAAAGAGTAGATGAAGATCAAGCAGACCAAAAGATGGATAAGAAGAGGAGCTATAAATGGTGTCTTTATTTGAGTAAAGATTCAGTTACTTCCAGATGATAGCATTGAGTGTTTTCCACCATGCAAAGTGAAGAGAGCAAACAATCATTGTATATTCCTTTAATATTCTACATAAAAACCAAAAGCATTCTGTAAAATCTCAGCTCCTCACTACCTCTTACCTTTACCTGCACGATCTCCTTTTTCCCCTTTCAGCCCTTCATCTCCTTTTGAGCCAGGCGGTCCAGCTTTTCCCGGAGGTCCCTGTATTCCTTTTAATCCTGCCCATCAAATAAAAAAAAAGGCACAAAAGGATAAGTGAAGAAACCGATTATCATCATAGCTAACATCAGCCACAAGACCAGAAGCAATGAAAGAGTTGCTCTAAAGATTTTGTGTAGGAAACGTGGAACCATTATCGGTCACCAAATAGAACATAGAATAACATGATTGGAAGGGATGTCAGAGGTCTTCTAGAATCTAGATCAACTCCCTGCTCAAGCAGAATCCCTACATTATTCCAGGCAAATGGCTGTCCATCTCTTTTTGGAAACCTCCAGTAATGGAGCATCCATGACTTCTGGAGATAAACTCTTCCGCTGATTTATGGTTCTCACTGTCAGGAAATTTTCACTGAGTTCTCAATTGGATCTCTCCTTTATAAGTTTCCATCCACTACTTCTTGTCCTGCAATCAGGTGCTTTGGAGAATAGCTTGACTCCTCCCTCTTCTCTGCAACAGCTCCTCAAATATTGAAACACTGCTGTCATGTCACCCCTAGTCCTTCTCATTGTTAGACTAGAATAGAATAAGAGAGTTGGAAGGGGCCTTGGAGGTCTTCTAGTCTAACCCTCTGCTTAGGCAGGAAACCCTCTACCATTTCAGACAAATGGCTGTCCAAACTCTTCTTAAAAACTTCCAGTGTTGGAGCATTCACAACCTTTGGAGGCAAGTCATTCCACCGGTTGATTGTTCTCACTGTCAGGAAATTTCTCCTTAGTTCTAAGTTGCTTCTCTCCTTGATTAGTTTCCACCCATCATTTTCTGTCCTGCCCTCAGGGGCTTTGGAAAATAGCTTGACTCCGTCTTCTTTGGGGCAGCTCCTCAAATATTGGAACATTGCTATGATGTCCTCCCTAGTCCTTCTTTTCATTAGACTAGACATTCCCAATTCCTGCAACCGTTCTTAGTATATTTTAGCCTCTCATACTTTGTTGTTCTTCTCTCTATATATATATCTATTTCCCTCAATCGTTTATCGTACATAATGTAACTGTCCATTGGTGGTTTTCTCTCTCTTTCTCTATCTCAT